ACAGGATCAAATAGCATTATAGCATTAAAAGATAATAATAACAATAATAATAATAAAAATAATAATACTTTGTAAAATTATACAATAGTAAAACCAATCACCCTTATAATCGTTTACAATGATGTCATCAGTAACAATAATAATAATGACAGCAGCAACTTGTTGTGTATTGTCATGATCACTTTTTGTTGTTGTAGTTTTTCTTTGTTTTCATTCTTTCTGTTTTGAGTCTTTAAATGTTGTTGGGCTTCTTTTTTGAGTCTCTGTACTCTTGTTAGCTCTTACAAAAGGTCTATAAAGAAATCAGAATAATCTTTTGTTGTACAGTTTTATTTTTATAATTTTTATTGCTGCCTTTGATATTTTCTTCTTTTTGTAAATTTGTATTTTGTTTTGTTAAAATCTTCCCGTCACATCACAGCTGAGTCATGTCAGAAAATCAACCGTTTTGTTTGAATCATCTTTTATTTGCTGATTTTGCTGTTAATGTCTGATTAATTTCACACACTGATTGATACATTAGCATTTTAACTTTACTGAATCAGAAAGATAAAAGAACACACGAGGAGAAGAATGTGGCATCACCAAACACAATGATCACTTTAAAAAAAATTACATAAGTGTTTACAGAAAAATGATAAAGGTGGAGTCGGCACAGATGGAGCAAGCATGGAAATGTCCTTCCTCTAAAGCATGGTGATGCATTGGTTGCATTATTGATTGCGGTCTGCAGAGAAGCTGAAGGTATCAGATTAATAAAGTACAGTAAAAATAGCTGAATATTTTACTCTTTTATAGAACTCAGCTGCAGTTTTATTACAGCACAATAAATGTGGATCGTTTTTAATGGGTTTGTTGCTACAGTCTGAAGGCTTAAGGTCTCGACTTACTTCCCTGCTTTTTGTTATTAAGTGAGACAGTTTTCAAACTTTGTTGCCAGCCAGACATTTGCTTGTAGGGCTAAGGTAACAAAGTCCGCTGGCAGCACAGGAGACAACAGGGCTTTAGCGACAGTGGCCACATGTTGGTCTCCAGCCCCCATCTGCCTCTGAGTTTTTGACTTTTGGATTTGCTTCCTTAAGTCTTCCTGTGCATGTTCGAACAGTTCCTTGGTGTAGTTTCTTAGCTTGTTATTTTGTACCATTTCATTGATTTCCTTCACCAGCTGCTTTTGTTCTTTTGTTTTATCTTTTTCATTACCTCTGTTGTTAATAACACAGTATTTCTGTGTTTTAAATCCCACTTTCTTAATAAACTTCCTTATCTGGTTTCTCTGCTTAACAGACAAGTCTCCATCAATATGCGTGATCAGGAGGAAGAAATAACGCATGACCTCTTTACCAAAGATCCTCCTCAGGACTTTCACTCGTTCCACATCCTGTGTCGTAAAATCGTCCTCCCAGCTGTGCACGTACAGGAACACGTGAGGCCCCTGCTTAGAATTGAACTGAAAGGTGGATGCAATGATCTTACTCAGCACCTCCTCCTTAGATTTGCTGGTGTGGCACAGGCCGAGAGTATCAGCTAAAACCAGTCTTTGGTTTCCAAACGGCGCCGTCTCGGTTGTGCACGGCGCTTCATCTGAGGCAAACAAGCTGTTTGTCACAGCAGCTTTTCCCAGGAATGTGTTCATGATTGAAGTTTTCCCAGCTCCAGTCTTTCCAATGAGCACGATCCTGAGCTCCTCTGGCACTGTTGGAGAATCATATCATATCACATATCAGCACTGCAGCACTTAGTCTGAACAACAGCTGATGTTTGAATGACGCTTCAATTGTTCCCAGCTTGCATTTGTTTTACTGACTTTGCATTACAAAGAAATTAACTTTCAGATGTTTTTATTATCTTAATTATCAGCATTATAGACTCATTAGTTTTCATGTAAACCACAGTCAGTCTTGTTTTACTCCCACACTTTCCCATCTTAGTTTTATGGTGTCTCGCTGATAAATTCAAAGTTCAGAAACACTTCAGATAAATATGATAGCAGCATGTTGACCATTTGTACAGTTGAATGTTTTCATTTTCAGAAAATGTACTTCATACAGTAACAGTTTCATTGTGTACTGCAGTAATTGTTGGTCTGGTGCAGGGCAGGCGTTTAATTAAAAGCAGGTATATTAATGCATAGAAGATTTAGCCTAGAAAGCTGCTTTTTATGTTAATGTCACTTATAGGAGCTGCATAAGACGTTTGTCCTACCTTCTGGTTTACTCCTCTGGGACCCTATAAAGAGAATTGTTAAAGATGTTAAAACCCCAAATGTGTACAAGTATTAATTTTATTATGGTACACACTGCATATTTCAACAGATCCAGCAGTTCTACATGAGGATTTTCTGACTAAAATGGCTAAAAATACATAAATCTGGAGCAGTTTGCACCTGAAGCCTTTCTGTCATGCTGCTCAGCAGAACTTTGCCACAATTATTTAAAAACTGAATTTAGTCAAAATGATATTAAATGTAATAACATTACTATTTTATAGATGATAAAGTTTTAGGGTGCTCGGAGTGATCATGTAAGCTGCACTCAGCACTGACTGCACATAACAACTTTTCTATTATTTCATGTCGTCAGATTAACTGAGAACTGTTCAGGATTCAATTTAGAAAAAAGAGAAATCTCTACATGTTACACACTTACACAAGTAATCAAGAAATTATTACAAATATTAAATTATATGAAAGAAGCAACAAATGAAGGCGATTAAAAAGCCGAGTGACCTTTGATGTAATCAATGAGGCGTCTGATGACTAGAAACTATTTTAAAAACCAGCGAGCTCGTAGACTAAACAGGGAGTGTTGGGCTGTGTAAGTGTAGCTTTCTCTGTTACAGATGAGACATTTGTGTTGTTAGTACTGCTGCATGAAAACGTAATAAGAAAGAAAAGAAATGCTCTGCTGGTTTATTTACAACCTGTATGAAATGTAAAATGTACGTACCGCCCATCTTTGTCCTTTGCAAAAGCAGTGTGTCGTTGATGTCGTTGAACAGTTTGCCATCTTTATATTCAGCAGTGTGCCGCGTCCTCCCCTTAATGACGTTCGACTATCGTCTGCTTGCCAATGAGCCGACTTCTCAGAAACCAGAAACCAAAATATCCGTGCGCAGCAAACGATAGAACCAAACAAAAGTTTGACGACTGGAGGAATCGGGGAAGCTCCCTCTCTTACAGTAAAATCATGTTTGAGTATCGAAAAGGCAATCTGGAATGAGAACTTTCCAGGATGCTGAACCTGGCATTTTGACCGTTTAGCCACAGCGGGATAGAGGAAGTATTTTTTTTGTGCAGCAGGATTACCCACACTGTAAAAACGTCAACTTGATTAATGTTGAATTAGCACATTTTCTATTGTTCGCCTAACATTTTATAACTGAATTAGTTATAAAATTAGTAGTTATAGAGTAAGTAATACCATGTTCTTAAAATCTCTGATGCTAGATAATTGACATTGAATTAACAGATAAATTTAAGTTGAGCCAGCTATTTACCTACAACCAGACCTTTAGCTTGTCCATTTCAGAGCGCATAGAGGAATGGCGCTAATGTCTTTGACAAGAGAAAGAAGAGCAAACCATTACGCTGCCTTTGGTAACTAAATGCTACATTTTTCTGTTTTAATATAAGCATCTTATAAACTTTAGTTAGTTCTAATTTCTTTTTTGTTAATGGGCACCAAAGAAAAAATATATATAAAAAGTTCCATAATCAATTTATTTCATTTTTGTTTATAAAGTACCAAATCACAACAACAGCTTCCACAAGACAAAGGAAAAAGAGACAAACCCAACAATCATATGACCCCCTATGAGCAAGCACTTTGGCGACAGTGGGAAGGAAAAACTCCCTTTTAACAGGAAGAATCCTCCAGCAGACTCAGGGAGGGGCGGGGCCATCTGCTGTGATTGGTTGGGATGAGAGAAGGAAGACAGGATAAAGACATGCTGTGGAAGAGAGACAGAGATTAATAACAGATATGATTCAATGCAGAGAGGTCTGTGAACACATAGTGAGTGAAAACAGGTGAGAGAAGAAGTGCTCAGTCCATCAGGGGAATCCTTGAATCCTCAGACCTTTTGCAGCATTATTGAAGCAGGGTCACCTGGTCCAGCCCTAACTATATGCTTTATCAAAAGTTTGAAGCCTAATCTTAAAAGTAGAGACGTCTGTCTTCCCAATCCAAACTGGAAGCTGCTTCCAAAGAGGGACCTGAAAACTGAGGTCAGTCGGAGAGTGAAGTGCTCTAATGGGGTGATCATATCTTATGAGTAGGGTTGTCAATTTTAATGCATTAATGCAGATTAATCTGTCATCACGATTAACCCATCCAGAGCACAGAATGACTCAAAATCCCTGAAATATCAACACATTTCAGGCAGTTTGTCCAAAGCTGGTTGTCTGTGCTCCAGATGGGTTAAATGCGTTAAAATTTTTTAATCGCGTTAATCATGATTACACATTAATGCGTTGACATTGACAGCCCTACTTATGAGGTCTTTAAGATAAGATGGGGCCTGGTTATTCAAGATGTTATATATGATGTGGATGATTTTAAATTTGATTCTGGATTTAACAGGGAGACAATGAAGAGAGGCAAATGCAGGCAAAATCTGCTCTTTCTTCCTAGCCCCTGTGAGTAGTCTTGCTGCAGTATTTTGGATTAGCTGAGTCATTTTTGACCAGGACATGTCCTTCAACGCACATATTAAACAAATATGTAAGACTGCTTTCTTCCATTTGTGCAACATCTCTAAAGTTAGAAATATCCTGTCTCAGAGTGACGCTGAAAAACTAGTTCATGCATTTATTACTTCCAGGCTGGACGACTGTAATTCATTATTATCAGGAAGTCCTAAAAACTCCCTGAAAAGCCTTCAGCTGATCCAAAATGCTGCAGCAAGAGTCCTGACAGGGACTAGAAAGAGAGCAGATTTCTCCTGTTTTGGCTTCCTTCATTGGCCGGGGAATCAGGGGATTCCCATGATGCACTGGGTGTTTCTTCTTCACTCACTATGTGTTAACAGACCTCTCTGCATTGACTCATATCTGTTATTAGCCTCTGTCTCTCTTCCACAGCATGTCTTTATCCTGTCTTCCTTCTCTCACCCCAACCAATCACAGCAGATGGCCCCGCCCCTCCCTGAGCCTGGTTCTGCTGGAGGTTTCTTCCTGTTAAAAGGGAGTTTTTCCTTCCCACTGTCGCCAAAGTGCTTGTTCATAGGAGGTCATATGATTGTTGGGGTCTTCTCTTTTTTCTTTGTATTGTGGCAGCTGTTGTTGTGATTTGGAGCTGTATAAATAAAATTGAAATAAAAATTGAAGTTATTTTTGGACTGGACGGACCGAGACATACCAGTCTGTCGTGGTGAAGAGAGAGCTAAATGCTGAAGCGGAGGTCAAAATTTACCGGTCGATCTACATCCTCATCCTCACGTATGGGTAGTTACCAAAAGTATAAGAATTACATCGTGGATACAAAGGGTGGAAATGAGCTTTCTCCAGTGAGTGGCTGGTCTCTCCCTTAGAGAAACCGGGTGAGATACTCTTCGCTATTGAAAGGAGCCAGTTGATGTGGTTCGGGCATCTGATAAGGATGCCTCCTGGTGTCTCCTGTGTGAGATGTTCTAGGCATGTCCCACTGGAAGGAGGCCCCAGGGCAGACCCGGGACACACTTGAGAGATTATGTCTCTTGGCTGGCCTGGAAATGTCCTTGTGTTCCCAAGGATAAGCTGAAGGACTTGCCTAAGGAGAGGGATGTCTGGACGCCTCTTCTTGGGCTTATGCTCCTGTGACATGGCCCTGGACAAGTAGAAGAAAATAGATGGAGAAAAAGAGTCTAAAAAATATCAGTAGTATTGAAAGTATCTGTATGTATGTTACGTGTTACGAGATGGTTACAGAGGGCTTTCCTATCGATACACAAACTTTTTATCCAGGCTACATAAAGATCTTTTGAATTACTGAGACATCATTTCTGCTCCAGCTTGTAGTTTTTCTGATTCAAGGTGTGTCCTTGAGGGTTATACCAGGGAGTCAAATACTTCTGATTTGAGACTTTTATTCTTCAGAGGAGCTAAAGTGTCCAGAGCCATGTGCAGTGTAGATGTTGAACTATTAACAAGATAATCGACCTCTGTGGAGGCAGAGTTCAGGTAGCTTCCCTGCACTGTGCTGGCGCATGGCATTGAATATCAACGAAGGAATTATATCCTATAGGAATTATAAACTTAGTTACAGCACTTTTAGAACGACGTCTACTGTGATGAAATCTATTACTCACAGCCGTGTAAACCTTTATTGTAAATTTAAATGTGAGTTGGAATGGAATTTTTTTTCCCTCAGTTTTCAGGAAATACTGAAAATGTTCAGTTACTGTGCCATATGTAGGAAAGTGATCCAGTGTGATTTTACATACAACAACAACAACAACACAACAACAAAACAAAAAAAACGTTTTTTGAGTTTTACAGCTAGCCTGGACATGGACGAGTAAGAGGCTTTCAAATGAATTAAAAGTCTGTCTGGGTCTTTGGTTGATTAACAGGCTGGTGTGAAAAATTGCTGCCACACCGCCCCCCGGCCTGTGCTTCGAGATTTCTGGTAGTTAGAATGACTCGGGGGTGTTGATTCATTTAAACTAACATAATCATCCTGCTGCAACCAGGTTTCTGTAAGGCAGAGTAAATCAATTTGTTGATCAATTATTAAGTTATGTACTAACAGAGACTTGGAAGTCATTGTTTGGTGACCTGCTTTACCTGTTGAGCTACAGCCCCCCACCCCAAACTCATCACGCTACACTTGATGAACCCTAACTGTGACTGTGAACACGATAACCACTGTGCACCAATCACACACTGCTCTTTAGTTTAAATCCATCACAGTACTGCAAACCTAAACTGCTGAGTATTTTAATGCAACCTTTAGATAACAGCCTAGTTTGTTTTGCAGCACGTTTCACAATATGAAAAACATTTCACATGCAAAGACCGATATCTGATTTAAAAACAGGAATTACACTGGTGTGAAAAAGTATTTGCATCCTTGCTGATTTCCTGTTTTTTTGTATGTTTGTCACACCTACATGTTTCAGATCATCAAACAAATTTAAATATTAGACGAAGATAACACAAGTAAACACAAAATGCAGCTTCTAAATGAAGATGTTTCTTATTGAGGGGAAAATAAACCAAACCTACATGACCCTGTGTGAAAAAGTGATTGCCTCCTAAACACAATAACTGGTTGGGCCTCTCTTAGCAGCAACAACTGCATTCAAGCATTTGCATTAACTGGCTACCTGGAGTCTTTTACAGGACTGTGGAGGATTTCTGGCCCACTCATCTTTGCCAAATTGTTGTAATTCAGCCACGTTGGAGGATTTTCCAGCATGAACCGCCTTTTTAATCATGCCACAACATCTCAGACAGATTCAGGTCTGGACTAGGCCGCTCATTTTGCTTTTCAGAGGTGCGTCAAGAAGCAAAACAGATGCCTGAAGCCTTTGTTTGGGTGTTTGTGAATCAGTGATTGTGTTACCTACTTCCTTCTCTTTCTCTGTTATGTGTTAAGCACAGATTACTCCATACTCACAAAATGTTGGGAAGTCATTTGAAACAGTGTCTCGGTACTAACCCTGGCTAACTGTGCAGATTGTGATCTCTTCCTGCTGACATGTGGTCTTTGCTGTGTGCCAGATCAGCATGTTCAGGACGGTTTAACACGCCCTGTTTGTTACCCAGCCAGTTTTTTCTTCTTCACAAATGTGCTCTACAGGTCTGTGTGTAAAACTGAAAGAACTGTGTAGCTGTCATTTCCTGAGGTGCCACTTGCTTTGTAACCACAGGGTGAGGTTTTATGGGTATGAGTCCAATTTTCACACAGCATGTTCTTAAAGCAATGAAACACCATGGTTTGCAGCCACGTGTTTGTGATATGTGTAACTATGTTTCCACACTTGGAGAAGGACTCGGCATTCAGTGTGTTTGCAGGCC